ATCTAACAAAGAAATCAAGAAACTACACAACAATAATTATAGCAACCTTATTGCATTCAGAATCAAGTTATTATCAGGAACCCTACCTACTCGCCAACAGTTACATCAGTTATATCCCAGCCAATATTGGGACATCTATGTCCAAGATGTGAACTCTGTACTGAAGATATAAAGCATGTCTTCAAATGTCCTGAGACTTCCAAAGAAGCTGACCAAATCATCATAATCATTAACCAAATACTCCAACCAGACAATAACCAATCTCCAATTTCAAACATATGACAAGTTATTGAATTGTTATGTGGCATTACAGACGAGATATTCTCAGTTTCCGATTTCTTTAACTGGGTTGAGGTAGCATCAGAAGCCCTGACTCAGTTGTATAATCTAATCTGGAAACCTCGTTGCTTGACAATTAATATTTCACCAATCACAGGAATTAAGTGAAACTCTAATAATAAATCCTTTACTTCATCTTACTCTGTCAGAACTACTGACACTCACAACCCAATAAACGAAGTCTCATCTACCAACACTTTCTCTCAAGAAACTACAGTTGACCTACCTACTATAGTTACTAACTCCTTTATTCATTGTAAATATAGCTACACCAAATGTATCAGAAATCTAATTTTATCATTGACAAATTCCTCCCCCCTAATACTAAGTAGGTAACTATAGCTGCTTGGTGCTGCTTGACAAGATATATTGTTTTAAATTTTCTTTTCAATCTTAGTCAAGTAGTTGCTGTAGGCAAGTTAGCATTTAACTTATCGCAATAGCATATGAGAGATATTGTTTCTTTTACAATATATACCTTGACATATACAAATCAAATAAAGAAATGATGTTTACCTACTAAAAAAAAAAAAAAAAAATTTATTAAATATTTTTTTGATAAAAATCTTTAAATAAAAAACAAACTATCTAATTTTTAAAAAAATTTAAAAATTATATTAATTTGTCAATATTTACAAGTTATTTTTTATATTTAATTAATATTTATTGGTTTTTTTTTTATATTTTATTATTGTTTTCTTATATATATATACAGTAAATATGGGTAATTATTTTTGAAGGCAACAAAAATGCTAGATATGATTTTTTTTGGATCCAACTTTTAAACATACATATATAGTATAAATTTTAGGATCATTCCAAAAAATTTCTGGTCCGCCTTCAAAAATAATTATCCATACTGTATATATTTGATATTTAAATATAAAATAAAAAGATTAAAATATTTTTATTTGAATTTTATCAAAAGATTTTATTTAAGTCTTATTAAATTAATTTAAAATTATTAAAAAATTTTTTGAGTTAAAATATATTTATTAAAAAATTAATCAGATAAATAATAACATTAATTGTTTTTTATATTAAATTAAGTAATATTTAAATATTAATAAAAAATTTTAATTCTAATATATTTTCATTATAAAATTAAAAATAATAAATAATTTTTAAAAAGACCTATAAATTTATAGCATAGTGGTAATGCTCTATAGATCACTAAGAGAAGGTCTAGAGTTTAAATCCATTTGATTGCAAAAATTTGTCACCTTTATAATTGATTGACCAGCTTCCAATTTATGTTATATCCAATCAGTCAATAATTAATTTTTAAATTTAGTTAGGCTATATAAAAATAAAACAAGTTGAAAACTATCAAAGCAAAGAAGATTGCATAAGAAAGGCTTCTAATCTAACTCCAATAATAAGCCTATAAACTTTAATCCAAATTGGTAATAGCAGATTTCATTATATAAAAAGAATATCCTAGCTTGGAACTATCTCAATTTGACACTTGCTTAAAAGAAAATTATATATCAAATATATATTTGATATAATTAGAAGTCACAGGTGATAATAAAAAATAATTTATCTTTTTTTTTTTTTTTTTTTTTTTTTTTTTATATTATAAAAGAGCATCAGATACAAAACTTTATTAATGTATATAACATATCCGGATTACATCAAACATCTTTACAAAATTGAGTTTATAAATTAATATTAACCTATCTACAATGCTAACTATCCCTACCCTAGTTACACTTAATGTACTTCAGATTAGTTTTAGTACTGGATGGTTAATGCCCTTCCAGAGCTGAGATAAAGACTTGTGATTTAATAGTGCTGCTGTTGTGATTTGCCTGTGGATTTGTAGCTTTCATTATTAACTTTAATAAGCTTTTATCGTTTAGGATGGCTTTTGATGAGTGGATGTTATTGGGGCTTTTGACTGGAGGGAAGTGCCTTTTTCATTTGACTTACTTTACTTCGGATGTGTTAGCTGTTGCTGATCTTGGAATCTATATTTGTGAGTATAGTAGGGTTAGTATTTTGTTTGCCACTGGTGACAGGTAGTTGTATGTCTATGCTTAGCATTCCGCTTGCAAGTTTGTCTAGGTTGGATTTTTGGCCAAAGTATAGTTTTTGTGTTCTTCTTTCGATTTCTGTTAAGAACTTTTTATTGTTGTTTTTCCTAACAAGCTTTATTAGACTTGTTCTTATCTTGTTTTCTATTTTGTTGTATGCTGCAATGTTTTTATAGCAATTAAAAATGTAACTCTGGATTTCTACTGCTGTAAGGCACCTGGGGCAAAGATTATCAGCATAGATGCTTGGGTATCGATCATGTAGCAATTGCCTGGATGGCAATGTTCCACTCAGCAGCTTGAGTCTAAAGGCTAGTAGAGAGGAAATATTTATTTTGTCCTTCTTGATTAGTAGCTTGTTTGCCTTGACTAGAATTTGAAATGTTGATACTTTCATGCTTACTTTCCACCTGTTTTTGATTGATGAGCTCTAAATAACATTAGCGAGCCTATATGTTCGCTGAATTTTTTTGGTCCAGACAACTGGGCTGTAGCTTCAATTATTCTTGATTTTTGGGCTTGAGATATAGCTTTCGGGTTCTACTAGGTTGTCAATTCCTATGATTATGTTACTGTCTTGATAGCCTGAGATAACTGGACTTGACTCTAGTCTTAATTTGATGTTTTTGCGTTCACATGTGCTGTTGATTTTTCTTTTTAAAAAACTGTATGAAAATTTGACTCTTTGATTAGAGTAGCTTGGAGTATATAGGTCTAACTTCTTAGGGAGATTGACTGATATATATGTCTAATAATTGGCCACCTTCACTAAACCGATTAACCCTAGGAGAGTATTGATTGGCTGCGGATTTGTTGAATATAGAGCTATGTTGGTGTCATATTCATATAACATTAACAATTCATCTTTGCTCTCGATATCGAAGTGTAAAAATAATCTGTTGAAGTTGATGACTTGTTTAAGATCCTCTATGGTATTGGTATTGATTTGTACTGATAAATCTTTATATTCGTGAAAGCTAATTTCTACTCTTGGATTATTGTCCGGAATGGCAATGTGTTGGAGTTGAAGTCATATTTCCTCTAGCGCGTTGGCTAAGCAATGTTCATTATTTGTCCTATATATCCAAAGGGACATTGCTTTAGTGGTTGGGATGGCGATTTGGAAGCCGTCGTTATGACACTGGCACTTCTTAAAAGTTCTACTCATTGTTAATTTATAGTGAGTTCCCTTTATTTGAGAGTAAGTACAGTTACAATTGATTCTTGTTTTAATGAAACTCAGTTTGTTATTGGTAATGAAAGCCCAGAATCTGGTTCTCGTGTTTGATATGCAGGTCGAAGTTCCTTTAAGAGTGGGTATGGGATTAATTTTGGTAAACCAGGAAGGTATGGGACCTTTGGGTGTGGAGCGAAAGTGTGTATCAAACTCATGCTAGGATAGCCTTCTGTTTGATTGGAAAGTAAGTAGATCTTCTAAGAACTTGATATTTCTTCTGCTCAGTCCTAATGCCTGATACTTTAGGTATTTACCGTCAAATAAAAAGTAAAGGCCTAGTGATTGTTCCCCTTTGGGGTGATTGTATTGATAAGGAGTGGGCAGATATCAATTCTGTACACTTTTGAAGCTGTCACTGCTTGCATAATCCATGTTTCTGGGAATTTCTCAGGATAACAAATTAGGCAGAGCCAGATAGCAAGACTGGCTTGAAGAGAATTTATTTCCAGTGACATAGCTTCTTGGATCTTTGTGTTAGTGAGTTTGGTAATGAGAAGTTTTATTAGAGTAAGGTCTTGATTATCCACTAGATTTATCAGGTTGAGTCCAGCTTGTAAGTAAGTGATTTTGTCTAATATCGTTTTTTCTATATTAAACTTTTCTTTGATCGCATTATTAACTCTGGTCTAGAGCTTTTGTACTTGCGATTTGAAGAGAGAGCTTGTTAAAAGGGAGTAATTAAGTTTGCTAGAGATGGTCCAGTCCAGCACTTGTTTCAATATTGGGCTGTTCCATTTCTGTTTGTGGCAGGCTTCTATGATCTGGCTTAGATCCTTGATATAGGTCTGGTTTGGGATACCTCTAGCTGGGTCTCCTGCGAAGAATTGCCTAGATATCGAAGAAAAGTTTTGACGCTAAGTGGTCTTACTACAGTATCTACGACTCGCAAGCCTGTATTTCTTGCACTATTTTTGTTAGCTAGGGTAGTGATGAGTATTGTTTTGTTTGAATTGCATTTGATGTTATTAAGAATAAAAAAAGAGCAAAAGATGTCTGTGAGGTCTTGAAGACTATCTAGAAAGTTTGCTGTAAGAAGTACGTCATCCATGTACGTGAGAATGCTATATGGGATTAGTGATTGCTTGGCATTATTATAAATTGTTGTTACTATTGGGTCATAAAAGATTGTCCATAAGAGTGATGAGAGCATCTTTCCTTGATCGAGGTCTTTTGACACCTCTATATTACTTGTACTATTGAAGTTTGTTGCTACTGCAAGTTCTCGTTTGTTTAACAGGCTGTGAAAAATATTGATAAGCTTATTTGGGATTTTGATTCTCTCTAAAGCAGCTTTGAGACTGTTGAGGTTGACTGAATCGAATGTCTTTGCAATGTCAAAGGAGGCCAGCCAAAGTTCGCTGTTCAGATTTTTTGTTGTGTTCAGGCTTGAGGTCGCAATGGTTAATAGTTCCATTGTGCTTTGGTTGGGTAGCCCTGCAAAGCTAACTTTTGACAGGATGTTATTCTCATATATAGTTTTCGACAATCTAGTGTTGATTATTTTTGTAAAAACTTTTCTCGTTGACTCGATTAAGGATATCGGGTGGGTATCTGAAACTCTTCGTGACCATATAATTTTTTTAGGTAGCAGAATGATTGTCAACTTTTTCCAACTCTGTGGGGTGATTTCGTCATCGATGACCTTGTTGTATAACTGTAGAAGCATCTGATTTGAGGCACGCCTGAGAGAGTTGATCATCTCGTACATGATACCCGAGCATCCTGGAGTCTTATCTAGAGGTAGTTCTTGCAGTGTGTCCTCAACTTTGGTGAGGCTGATTGGATTCAAAGTATAGTTATATGTGCCTTCTTTTATTGTACTGATAGGAACATATTTGTCAAACCAATATGGATCGGACAGGTCGAAGTTGTTATTCATCAGAACCTTTTTGAAAGGTTGGTTATAATATTTTTAATTTTCTTTGGATCATCTGTAAGAATACCTTGCTCATCTTGTATGAAGTTGAGGTCTAGTAAGGGCTTGAGGTTGCCTAATGCTTTTTTGATAAAACTTTTTGATCTTTTTCAAAATTTGATAAAGTTGTTAGTGATGTTTCTCTGGACTTGTTCAGTATGAAACTCTTTGATATCATTAAGTCTTTCTTTGATGAGTGTATTTTTAATCTGGTTCAGTGATTTGATAGAGATTGGTGTGGATCCAAAGATCTTTTTGTGAATTTGTACAATGTGCCTTGGTACCCTTACTGAAATAAATTTCGTTTTTTGGAAATAATCTTTTTAATTCGCCTGATTGTTCTATAATGTTGACCTCCATTGTGTTGGGGGGCCTTGTTTATAACTGGTTTTACTAGTGGTAGATTATTCTTGGCTGCGTTTACAATAGCATGGTTGAATGAGGGCCAAGAGTGGCTGTCCCTCATGGAGATTCTGAGATCTGTTTCTTCTTGAAAGTTGCTTCTCTGTTCTGGTGTGGCTTGTTTCCAATCAAATAACTTAGTCTGACAGCCTGGGACTCTGAGCTTGTGTTCAAACCAATCAAAAATTATTTGAACTTGTTTGTGATCTGAGACGATTGATAGGGACTCTGAGGTTTTTACACTAAGGACTTTGGATCTGAGGTGGTTTGTGCACCAAATTTGATCAATTCTTGATGCATTAGTTTGTGTTATATGAGTAAATTCGCTTTTTCTATTTAGGACTTTCATGATGTCCATCCAATTGAACAAATAATTGTAGATCGTTTTTTTAATGTTTGTTGTTGGTACGTTGATGGATGGGGTGCCTGTAGAGTAGGAGTTGAAGTCACCTGCCAATATTTGATGAGTTGATCCTTTGAATTTTCTTAAGTGCTTTACAAGTGATTTGGTTGCTTTTTTCCTTTCGCTTGTCTCATAAGGCAAGTAAACAGCTGTAACAATTAAGTCAATTTTCGGTTTGAATTTCAGATGGACTGAGCACCAGTACTCATTTTTTGCATATATTGCAAAGATGTGATTGACTAGATCACCACCTACAATTAAGCATGATCCATTTTTTGATGATGCTGATGGTGTGCTTGCGATGATAGTCTTGTTATAAAGCTTCTTTGGGAAGGGATTAGTTGTGGAGACTTTGGTTTCAAAACAACACATTATTGACCTTTCATTTGTGAGGTCGTGCATGAGGGTTGTTAACTTTGATCTATCATTGAGACCTCTAACATTTAATGTTGTAATGTTGAGAAGATTTTTAATTATGGCAGCGGTGTTGATATCAAGGGTAGTATTTTGTATAAAACTGTTCAATGAGTGTATATAGTTGGATGAGCTTTTTATCTTAGCAAATAAATGGGATGAGGACAAAACCAGGCTCTGGTAAGTTCTCTGCAAGTATATATTCTGGTAATCTGTCAAAATTATAGCTCTTGTAAGGTTGAGCGATGTAGGTTGATAAGTCATCATCATCTCTGAGAGGAAATTGGATGTCTATATGATTTTCTTGATTGAATTTGTTCAGTTCTTCAATTGAGAGGAGAGGTGCTTTAGGAGCCTTGAACCAGTCTTCTAGCAGTATAAGAAATTCATATCTCTGGTCAAGTTTTCTAATTTTCTCTTGGTATTGCTTATCTCTATAGTTCAGGAAGGTGCCAATTCCTAGTGAGACGTCTACTTCACTGATTTTACTTGGCAGTTTTTCTTTATTAGTTTGTGAGATTGCTGGATCGATCTATACTGGGCCAAGGGGAAGGCTAAATTTGAAGTCACTTCTTAGATGAGCAATTAAGGCCATTGCATTTTCTTTGGTATTTGTTGTGATTGGAATGTCAATCTCACCTAAGAGTAGGTTAGGGGACCTGGGAAGAGGTCTTTTGTACTTGTAGTAATCTATTGGCAAGGTAATAAGCTTGTATTCCTTTCTCAGTATGCCAATAAGTTCACATGTGTCTATTATCATGGAGTCATGTAGAAAGTATGTTGCTAAATGAGGTGGGAGAAGTTTGTACGATGCTGGCAGAGGTTCCTTTGGAGGAGGCAGATTGAAATATGATTTGGGTAGTTTTTGTGGAACCCTGTAGTGCTTTCTTAATTCCCTAGCTTTTTCGGCAAGCATTTTAAGGTCCTTTCTTTTAACAATGGGAAACAGTAGTCTGGTTGCTTTGTTAAGTTTCTCTGGTTTCTCTGGGAGTGGAGGAGGAGTGTAAAAGAATAAATCCAGTATATGCTCAAACTTATAGTAGGTGTATAGAACTGAGAGTACTTTGGGTAGGTGTGTTCTTCCTCTCATTGGTAGTTGGCATAGTAATCTGATTATAATATTTGATAGGATTT